GGCAGCCCAACTGGCAACGAGAAATATGACCCTTTCCGTTGCAATGAAGGGCCCCTAATATCAATCTGAAATACCATTTCTAAACATCAGATGTTTTAAATCTGGGCTACTCAGCTACCTAAGCTCTGCTAGCCTTTAATGACGATAGTAAAACTACAATAATGCTACCATCCTGCAACAAAGATAGAAAAAGCGTGCTTGAGGCAAAGAAACTACAATTGCACAAAGCTACAAAGGATTAGCAGGCATTTATCAATGACAACATCACTACATGGAAAGGATATAGCAGATAATGGTATATGGAGGCCACCCAGCTGTGGATGTACTGTCGTAAAGACTCATTAACGGATATACTCCGCAATGTGCATTGTTCAAGACATACTATTACCACGTTTGGAGTAAACAGTTTTGCTGTAGGGCCAATTTTAGGCAGATACCACCAGTCTTATCAACTACTAAAGGACGTGCATGTACCTACACATATGTTCCCGTATGTGATACTTTATAATGATTAGTAAAAATTCTTCTGAAGCCGTGGGTATAAATATTTTCCGCGTATTTGCAAATTTTTCATGTACCTCTGCATGAGTACCTGACAGTATAATTGTTCGTAACTGCTGAAATTAGAGTCATCTGACATCATCTGACTTTAACGGGATCGAAAGATCCTAAAGAGTCTAAACTTAAGTACAGAAAAACAAAGTACCTACAACCTAATACGTTCCAGTGCCTAGATTATGTGCCAACTAATTCTAGGAGGCTTCCGTATAAACTTTTCAGCTGTTCTTCAATGAACAGCTCTTGCATGGTGTGGAGACGGTATTGCCAATAAGTAGGCTTCAAACTCCGGAGATGCGTCGTTCAGTGCTTTAAATCGGAAGATCTTCCCTTGAGCAAGAAATCAATCCCACATTGTTCCGGCGTAATCATTTGGGGAATGGCCAGTAAGTCGGCCAGTTACTTGCGAATAATAGAGGCAGCATGGTACTGTGATCCGATCAGGTCAAAATGGAGCTGGTGTATGGTCAAGCTGTCCGATGTCAGCACAACTTGTGGCCGCCCTTCGCCTTGACCCACGTGACATAATCAGCACAAAGTGTAACGTCGACTTCTTCCTTTCTTCTTTTAGGCGAATATCCATGGCAGTGCGTATCATGCGGCTGGTCACTCAGTATTTTGAAACGACCGATCGACAAATCAGTGCTAATCTGAAAACGGTATTTCTGCTCAAGAACTCAAGACGTTTTTCTTATGACAACTGACGGCGTAGTCGAACCACGAGCAGGGAAAAAAGGGTTGTGTTAGCTGGGGTGTATCTGTCCTTCTATACTTTCCTAAAGAGATTCAGAAAACACGTCAATCATACCTTTAACTCGTGGAGATAGGGCAAAGATGGAACTCTAACGAGTCGCAGGCATGGATAAAACAGTCCCTTGACAGCTGAACAGAACAGGTGAGGCGATTCAGGAAAAAGCGACCTCGTCAGGGGTTCGGCAACGCACAAACGGCTATAAATCAGTGACGTTGCTGGTGTCCATTGAAAAACATGGCCTTGTATGCCCAATAC